ATGTGGGGTAACCCAACACCAATACGGTATGTGCACTGCAAAAAATACTACAAATATGTATCTTCAAATACCTTTTAAAAACAAGCAGAGGAAACATCTCTAAAATTTATATCAGTACATTAAATGCATGGCAACATTGCAGTTGGTATACAGAGAATTGAGCAACGTAGGAGATGCGATATCAGATCGAATTTCGCCCAGTGTTCCTTTTGGTCACTGAGCCATGTCGATCGGCTGTCTTCTCCTCTTCGCAACAGCTGGGCGAGAGGCGAGGTGGCCAGTGGTTGGTTGGTCCGCCGATGGAGGCTGTGTTCTGCCGCTGCTCTTGTTTATAAATCAAGTCACATTAAGTGTAATAATAAACGCAGATCGAGGCGAACTTGAGCCGGTTCTCGGGTTCTCCGTCGATTGGGAGGGGGTGGGGGGCTATATTAAGGCTGTACTGCGGCTGGTGGCGAATTGAATAAGTCATAAAATGGGAGGGCGGGGGGCGCAAGGTGGGAATTAATAAAAATCTGGCCAAATTGTGGCAGCGCGTTCTTCTCCGCTTCGATAATTATGGAGACCAGAGCAAGCCAAAAGAGAGAGGCTTTGGCGGAGCTGGAGAAATGTCAAAACGTACGCTTCATTGCCGTCGCCTGTCTGCTGTCTGCTGTCTTCTGGCTTCAGTTCAGTTCACAGTCTTCTGGTCTCTACTAACGATAACGACAACAAAATGCTGATGGCACAAATTATAGTCAAGCAAGAAAGAAAAACGGAGCCGCAGTTTGAGCTGGAGTTGAAGTTGGAGCTGCAGCTGAAGCTGGTGTTCGGAGCATAAAGTTGGAAAGAGCCGCAGCTGAAGACCGGCAGGCCGGCAGTAGAAAGCAGAAAGCTAGCCAGAAAGCCTCAGTCTTTCGGTCCCCAGTCCCCAAGCCCGCTTTGTCTCGAGCCCCACAATTTCCGCCATTTATGACAGTCACAAATCGAGTTACACTCACATACCCGCCGCCTTGACTTTGTCTATAGCTATAGCTGTGGCTTTGGCTCGGGCTTCAGATTCAGCTTTAGCTTTAGCTTGGCCTCAGCTCCAGCCCCAACTTCAGATTGAGCCTCTCCTCCGGAGCGCCGCGTACTTTCTAATTTCTAGGCGCACTTTTTCACTCGATGCTCTGCCGCCTGGCTGCCGTTTTTGATGTTTAATACCCTAGAAAGTGGAGGTGCTTATGAAACTATACTTGCATTCGCTCAATATTGTTACTTCAACTTTTGGAATGAAACTTTGAAGTTACTATTTTTCATACTTTGGGCTGGGCTTCAAACAAGATGTTTGTTTTGAAATGGAAATGTATTTGAGCTAACTGCGTATCCAATTGTAGTGTACGCCATATTCGGCGTCAGTGGGTTGCATTTATTTACCAATATGTTTATTGTCGTTACTTTCTGTTGAACAAACAAGTTTTTTGGTATTTTCTTATTGTCCATCTCTCGAGTCTCCGCCAAGTGTTAATGTTCATTTGTGCATGCGATACTCACCAAATTGCATGCAATAGAAATTTGTTGTCGAGGTCGCACCGCTCCGGCAAACGAGCATCAAAACAGACTCAATGCCGCCACTCGGTTCCGTTGATACCCCGGCTGCCCCAGTCCGCCAGCCCAGATGTCGAACCCCGATCCCCAATCACCACTGTAACCATAACCATTCACAATGCCAAAACGGCAGCAGCGGAGAAAAACGGCGCTTTTGGAGGAGGTTTTTTGGTAGCTAAGTGATGGGAGGTCAAATCAGTTACAGCTACGTGAGGCTGTTTTGGGCCAACAGGAGAACGTTTTGGGCAGAAGCAGAGCGAATGGAAAGTAAAGAAGGGGCCTCCTAATGAACCTCAAGTGGAGCACCCCTCGAAACGAGCGGAAAATGGCGAATCCCATGCGATTCGAGACCATTTGATGATCTAATGTCCGTTCCAATCGACTGGGCTCATTTACATTCCTGAGACATTTATGTCGAATGGGACCGATTGCCTATTACAATTAGATGTGCAGATCCCATTTGGTGTGCAATTAAATCTGGCATCTCTTGCTTGTGCTTAGAGAAAATAGATCAGGAAGCGTATCGTTGCATCTTTTACCTAACTACAACCTACTAGTTTTTATCAGAAATAAAATATCATGATCATGTCCCATGAAGAAGACTTGCACTTATCATTTGCGGTCTTCTTTATCTGATTTACATGCTCAGAACATGATTTGTCGCTCTATAGATCACTTATCATAGTTTTCAACCGGTTCCGTTTCGATCATTTCTGGAATTTATAGCATCCCGAGACGAGACTTGTTTTTATACCAATGCATTCTGATACAGTTATTCCGATTCAATTTTCCCGGCAGATGCTTAGAATATTTTTTTAGATTTCAGTAATTTAGTGGAGCTGCACTCGAGACGCCCCCTTGTGCTTCCTCGTGGGCCGGAGCCACATACTCATGACCGTTTGTCATTTCCAGAGGCGCGCCAATTGCCAGAGTGGCCTGCGAAGTATTTCTGCGCTCGCTGTGTGAGAAAATGTGGCCAAACGGTTAATAACAGGGGAGTTGGTTGGCCGAAAGGGGGTTTCCTCCAGGTTTGAAGGGGAACGGGGGCTGGAGGGTGCGGCGACCGCAGAAACGGCAGCAACAGTCAACATAACTGAGCCCAAAGGAAAAGTCACAGTTGCGTTCAAAAGAATAGCACCAAAAATGACACTCAAGAAGCCTAATGCTTATGTAGCACATACAAATAGATCATCATTATAAATTTAAATAATCATTTTTGGGATATATGATGTGCAAAGAACATTGCAGCTCGCAAAGCGAAGCTTTTAAATTAACCTACTTCTAGCATTCCCACCGCCACTATAAGCGTGCAAGTATGTGACCATGTGGAGGAGATTCCAGCGATGGCTGCCGGGACAGGAAACTTAAACTAGTTCTAGTTCTACTTCGAGTATCTGGCTTCTGGCCGTTCCACAAACTGGGACACTTGTTGCGCCAACTTGGACACTCGTTGGCTGGATGACTTGGCTTGGCCTGCCCTGGCTTGCCAGCAATCAAACTGGCAGCCACAGCCTCGAGATGACAAAGAGCCGAGGCTTCCCACGCAGCAGTCACTCCCATGCCGCCCCTATCGCCCCTGCCACTCCCACGCGTCCAATGGCCGAATCCCGAAGGCCCGGAAAAGAGAAGCCAGCCTAAATAGTCTTAATGGACCATGAAGAGCCCGCGGAGACGTAAAGATCAGAAGAACACCAAACACCAAAGAGATTCTGCAGATGGCGGCAGGCGCGCGTAAATCTCGAAGACGCCCAATTAAACAGAAAGATATATATGGTGCTTATAGGAATATAAAAAGCGAGACGACACACAAAACAAAATCACCAGCGAGGAGGACAGAAAGCGAAAGAGTGAACGGATCGCCTGACGGCGATGTTGGCGTGGATAAGCCCAAAAGAAAGTTTTCTTTCATTGACAAAAATTTCTTACTCGACTGCGCTGTCTTTTATTCTCCGCCGCGTACAACGAACTTGGCCTCAGTTGCCCACGGGCGCGGATCTTAACCCATTAAGATGCCGGGCCAAGTCAGGAGATTCGTGTAAATACAGCTGAAAAGCACACAATTCCTTAAGATTCGAATGGCCATAAAGGCTTAAGAAAATGAGTTTTTACCTCGCAGCTTGAACAACAATTATTTAATACCCAACTTAGCCCTCTTTGTCGGAGAAGTAATAGAGTTAATAATTTTATAACTATTAATTAGTAATCAAGTTTTCCTAATTCAGGCGATGCCTGGCTGTTGAATTGTTTGTGGCATTTGGCCAAGTTTTCCCAACTGCAGCATTCTCCTTTCCATTTAACCCATGGAAAAGGCATTTGCATTTCTTGGCCGATTTCTCCCTTTCGCGTTAATGGGTTAATGCTGCTGGTGCCTGGCATTAGTTACACTTTTCCGATACACGAAATTGACTTTACATATTTCAGGCAGCGGGCGATGTAACAGGTTGTTGGGCGCCATCTCTTTCGCTCTCTCGGGCATTTCGTTTCGAAACGGTGGCGTCGCTGCTTTTACCTGTTGCATGCGGCGTGGTTGTTGCTGTTGCAAGAGCACCAGCTTCGGCAGCAACAACAACGGCGATGCTGCAGCGTAGTCGGTTTTCGCTGCTGGTTTTGTTTGATCTTGTGTCTTATTGTTGCGCGTTGTCGTGTATCTTTCTGCCTGTTATTTGTTGCTTTCCTCGGATGCGATACTATCGCTATCGCTCCTGCTGCCTCTCTTTCTGGCCCGACCCCCCTTCTCAGCCCGTCTCACTTACACAACCAAGCGACTGTTGAATTTATTGGCGCATATAAATGCCTCAAAATTGATGTTATTGTCGTCCGATATTCCTTTTCATTTATCCCTCCCCTCCCCACCCCTCCCCACCCTGACCCAACGCCTCGCTGGCTCTTTCCTTTGTTTGTGTCCTGCTTGTTTTGGAAATTGATTTTTACTCGGACTTTTATGGCCGTAGTGGCCGAGCGATAAGTGGAGGAAAAACCCGCCTTCGGTTGGGCACTGTGGAGGGAAAAGACAAAAGACCAGAGACCAGAGACAAAAGAAGAACAAATAGGCAAGGTGGGCGTAGCGCTGACAAAGTGGGCGTTCCCTAAGAGAATAGAGCAATTTTCGGGATCGAAGGGAAAAGTGGGGGCAATGAGTTAATTTCCCGTGGGCCGAGGACCATGGATTTTCAGCCGACTGACGTGGGCTTGGTACACATAGAGAAGTATTGATTCAATGTTTTTCAATAGCCAAAGAGTCTGCATTGAGCATCTTACAAGTGGGTTATTATGTACTAGGATGATGACAATACGCTAGGCATTTTGTACCTTTGCTATAACATTTATATAATAAATTAAACAAGCTGTTGTGAACTTGTGTTCAGTTTTCTGTGTGGAGAAACGTGGGCAGGGAAAATGGCAAGTTTGGCCAATCTAACAGTAAAACTCACCTTTAGCGAATGTTTTTTATTCCAATCCGATCGCGCGCTCTCTCTCTCTCTCTCTCTCCTCTCTCCTTCTAGCTCCTTCTCTCCTTTCAAAACAAATCACAAATATTTGCGCATGCGCGACTGCGCATTCCAGGGATACAGATACACACACACACACACACTTGCACACAGGCGCACTCGATTCCGGCGTTTGTTTTGCGGCTAATTGTTTAAACAGCGCAGATTATTCTTCACACTGCCTGTATTTGTTTGTTCATCGGCTATTTTCGTTTGTTTTTGCTACGCACGAGCAAATTTGCAGCGCACACGCAGCCGAGAATTCGCGCAATCGCTTTTTCCTGTATGTATCTTTTATTGGCCGCAGATCGCGAGTTTTCATGCCCTTTTCGAGAGCCCAAAAGACGCGTCGCCTGCTGCGTTTCGCGAACTATTTTCGGTTGGCTAGAAGCCCGTGAAGGCGGTTTTAGCCGGTGTTCCTTGCACTTAAAAACACTCAAGCGGCGCTCGCAACTCAAGAACAGAAAGTTGGCGAGAATGCGGGCGGTGTAGTTAGTCGCCTAACTGCGAATGTTTCGCATCCAGGGCGGGGAGAAGTGTATCATAATTTATGCGATAATTAACAATAAAAATAAATACAACGCGATGTTTCAGCAAGCGATGCGCACTTTTGTGTTTTTGAACGGCAAACGATCGCAACGATCGCAGTTTTGTGACTGAAAGCGACCGATTTCTAGAGATGAGTTTTCTACAAGCACAGTGAGTGCTGTCGACTATCGGTGTTTTGTAATCGACTAAATTATCGGAATGGAATAGGTTTGGTTCGGAGCATGGATATTAGTCAGTCAATATATTTTAGAACATTTTCAAATTCAAAAGTGTACGTTAATGTTCCACACGAAAATGTATCTTGGATCGTTCTTTTAACAAGTGTAATCTTGAATATCCTGGCAAGCTTACGTGTAATCGGCTGGTATATATATTATTACTACAGCTTTGAACATTCAGCCATAGACCCAGTGTATTCCAGTGCCGGAGTTATCCTCATATATTGCTGCTAGACCCCAAATGGAGAACTCCCGTAGTCCCCCATAGTCGAAAACGGAAAACTGTTGCTCAGACTCAGACAACTCCACACGCTTCATCGATCTTGAGTCCCCGCAGAATCCACCGTGTAGGCCCACGATGCACGAGAAGAAGTTGTACCCAATGAGTCCTTTTGACTCCTCTGGTGGCAGCCACGTAACGATTTTGTTCATAAAGTCATGCCGAACGTCGGATGTGCACACCACTTCTGGCAGTATGTCCTCATAACAACACTTAAAGCCCCAATAGTCGGATGCCCAGGAAGTGGGCACCAGCAGAATCAGTAAGCTCGTCCGCCAGTCCATGTCGACGGACGTGGAATGGCAATCTTTCACTGGAGCGGTGGTACTTATGGGCGCATCATATCAGCGCCAGATGTCAAAGTCCAATAAACCCCGCTATCAAGTAAAGTGCTCCTCTAGGTAATCCTCGAGTGGAGCTTTCTCCTGTGGGAGCACGTCAAGCCGTAAGCCTGGTTAGGTTATATTTTTTAGATAACCTAATCAGTTGCGAAGTTTATAAACAAATAATTGTTATCTCTCTGGGCTGTGCATTTACTTGGACCAATTTAATACTTTCAAGTTGGCTTTACATAACTTGTGTAATTTGATCTTGCTTATGTATGTACATAAAAGCATAAAATATATTGCAAAAATACATATGTTTACATGGTATGTGTGATATATAATTCTCTCTATAAAGGTTGTAAATCTTGCGTACGGCTGGTAATTAGAATATTTGTTTACATCTGAACACTTAATATCCACCGTCCTGATCCATCTAAAACTTTTAACTTTTAACCTAAATCTAGCTGTTTGACGCGTTGAGTGTTTCTCGCTTCTTGTTGAGTCCATGTGCATTGGTTTGTAAATCTGTTCAAAACTGCATTGTTCGTTAAAATGGTTTTTTAAAAATATAAATATCGATAATTTAACAGGTAAAAAGAATAATTTCGTACGAGTAGCTGGTTAAAACAAACAAAGGCTAACAAATCTGTAAAATATGTATACACAAGCTGTCTGCTCCAAGCGATCATAAAGAACCCTGCTCCGTGACCAGCACCACGCTCTGCTCCTGCGCAATGGCAGCCAGCTCCTTGAGCCACTCGTCCATGAGCACAGCGCATAGGGCCAAGTCGCGGGACCGCTCGGTGCCACTCGTGCTGGCGATGATACCCATGGAGGCCACCGAGTCCAGGGACGCCGGCTCCGAGTTGAAACCACCCGTCGACGGGCCGCCATCCAGGCCGTGCAGGGTGCTCGCCGAGTGGGTGGTTGTGTTCGACTGGGCGGAGAGCGTTAGAGTGGAGCCTGCGATGCTGCTGTTGCTTCCCGATGCGGCTGCCGATGTCGCGGTGGCTCCTGTGCGTGATGCTCCCGCTTGGGGCTGCGTACTTAAGCTGGTCTCGCATGTGCCTGCGGATGTCTGTGCTTGTGAAATGCCTCTTCCATCGTTGCTGGCATTATTCCCCACCAGATTCGAGGCAGCTCCTAAAAATTGAAGTGGGGATTAGCAACCGTTCATGGCTTTACTGACCTTTTGGGTTAATGAAAGAGGAACAACAATAATCACATGTATATATGGGATTCCACAAATGTTTTTATACTCTACTTCGAACTAGTTTTTAGTGGAAAGCATTATGTACAAAGCTCTACGAAAATAAAGATACTACGCACAAATATTAACAAGACTATGCCATATTGGGTTAGGTTTGATTAAAACTTTAAATATTTTATCAAGCGTGAAATATTTACCGGTGAAGAATGCGTAAATTTGTGATAAGCCAGATGAAGCTAAGATTTTTTTGATTTTTTTCGATTCGATAAAAATAAAGAAATAAAAGAAATTAATTTATTATAAACGATGCCTTCGGGCATTTTACAGAGATGTGTGTCAACCAAAGAAAGCCCTGAATGAGACCTGTTTACTATAATTCCATTGGTAGTAAGTTCACTTAAATGCTTTAATGATTTGGCAGGTTTACTTTACATTAATCGGAAATGAATCAGGCTAATGCAGGGCTCAAGTGTAAACGTGTAAATGTGTTTTTGTGAGTGAAGTGTGTGTAATTTGACCCAAAACCAACTTTCTTCCAACATCCAACGCTGCAGACTTGTAAACTGTTGGTAATATCTAGTTTGTTTGCTTGGTTTTTCTTTTGAAAAATATAGAAGTTGTGCAAGAGTGTGACTGAAGCAGGTAACCGATCCAGTTACTCACCGGAGGAGCCATTGGGTGGCGTTGTGGACGTGGACGCAGACTTTCTGCTGAACATGCTGGTGATGGATTTGCTGATGCTGCGCCGCTTCTTGTCACTGCGCTTGAACGGATCGTAGGCACTGGTGGGCGTGGCCTGCACGGGCGTGGCGGCCGAGAGGGTCGCGTAGGAGTTCGTTACCATCTGTTGCTGCTGGCTGTGATGCATTGGAGAGCCCTCGTTGCCCTTGCGCGCGTTCGCCAAGCGGAACTCTCGATCTATCAGTGACGAACGCGCCACATCAATGATCTCCAGCGAATCCTCCGTCACTGGCAGCTCGGCATCTATCTGCTGCTTCAGAATGCGCAGCACCTGGTGAAACGAGGGCGTATCCGAGGTGATGGCTATGTCCGAGCGCAGCAGCAGCGAGTGAATCAGCGGCAGTGGATACCAGGCCAAGCGAGTGATCAGCCCGGTCAGGTGGAGATTGACGTACAGCGAGTTGCTCGTAAAGGTTTGCAGTTTGCCCCAAATGGCATTGAGAAAGGGACCTGGAGTTGTAGGAACATAGCAATTATACGGATTTGAGAAGTGCAAGTTAGTTCTCACCTAAGCTTACGGTGCCCTGCGCAAACAAATCTTCCGAGAAGTCAAGATCCGTCAGTATTAATTCGTTGCGATTGTTGTTCGAAGTGCGCCATGCCTCCCGTTTGCCGGATGCACCCAGAACGCTGCTGAGGCTGCTGCTATTGTGATCCAGATCGGCCTCACTGGCTGTGGTGGCCAGAGTTGTATCCGTGGCCTCGCTTTCTTCGTCCGCTGGTCGCCACTTGAAGGATTCGTAGCCGCTTGACTCGCCAATCGACTGCAAGCTATCCAGCTGCTTCTCACCCGTCTCGTTGGCAGCAATGGGACCGCCACCGAACTCACTGAAGAACTGGCGCGCCAGTTCCAAGGCGTGGGCGTGAACTCTTCCTTGCCCATGACGGGGCCACTTTTGGTAGCGATAGCTGTTCGCCCACTTAAGGCAATCCCTTTGACACTGGGCGATCCGCCAATGAGCCTCGAAGAGATATGCCTGGATATTCGCATACAAACTATCACCCGTGTGCACTCCGTAATAGTTCCAGTTGGCTCCAATCGTCTTGCTCATGACCGGAGATGGGAGACTCGGCAGAGGCGTCAGATCGCTCACCACAGGCTCGTGGACACTCTTCGGTCTGGCCAGATCTCTGGCCCTCTTCATCACATCGGGCGAGAGGTCCAGGAAGAACTCACTGCTATTCAAATACGGATCGATTTTGTTGATCTTGTGGCGATGTGAGATGGGCACATGCTTGCCGGGCAGCATGAACTTGAGCAGCAATTCCAGCATGAGGTCCTCGCAGTGCAGGCCCAACAGGGTGTCAAACAATGCCATCGTAACCATGCACAGGTTGGCATCGGGTGAGTTCAGCCGCTCGACCAGAGCATCAAGTATTCGTTCGCCGTCAAACTTTTCCGTATCGAGCAGAAACCGAACGAAGGCCCTCAGCAGTCCGGGCTCCGTGATGGAGCGCAGGATCAGGTCCAGGTACGACATGGCCGAGATTTGCGAGTCGATGTTCGTCTGAAAATGTTTGCCCTTCAGTGTCTGCGAAAATGGAGCGCAAAAAGTTGTTTCGAGATTTCGAGGTGTGTGTGTGTGGTTAGCTACGGGGAAGGAAAAGGCACAAGAAACACACAAGAGACGGAAAGCAGAAGGCGGTGCAGTTCCCTAGATTAAATACGGGTCTTACCAAGAAAGAAGACATTGGTTAAGTATTTCAAATTCAAAATGACCCTCGGGTCTAGATATAAACGATAATTGCATTATATCTCTAGTTTTACGCTTCCTTAACCAATATCTAAATAATGCTCTAGCTTAAGGACAGGACATAAATGATTCGCTTGCAACCAACACCACAGAAATGCATCGAAGACAAATTTTCACGAAGAGAGACCGAGCGAGACGAGACAGAAGCGTGACTTCACTCACCTGAAGGATCGCAGGTCCCAGCACGGGAACAATGAAGCCCTGGTACATGAAGTCCAGCAGCTGCTGCTTAATCATCTCGTGGGCCACCTGCACCACGGCGTTGCAGAACTCGAGGGCGTTCATGAAGAGCGTTAGCTCCGGTATCTCTGTCACATCGTCCGGCGTTATCCGGTGCCAGTCAATGGAGCTAATCTCGATGCTGTTGGGCAGACGCGAGTAAAGACCACCCAGGCCGGTCACCAGCAGCGGGCAGATCGAGGAGTACTGGGCTATGTACGTTCCAATGTTGGAGTTCTTCTGCGAAAGCGCCATGCACAGCAGCAGAGCATCGCGCGCTTGGTGACCTAGACTGCCCTCGCGATGCACGTACGGGATAAGCAGCGAAAATATTATGAAGCTGGAAGTACAAATAAAATATTTATCGGATATTGAAAATACTTATAATAAAGCCT